AAAAATCACCACGATTTGTAACAGGCAATCTTCTATAGTTTTCCAGGTTACTCAGATATTCAAACCTGTGTAACCAATCATCAGTGTAAGAAATTTTCCTTTAAGCTGTTAGCATAGCAGAGCCCATGCCTTTTCAACTCAGGGAATGATACTCATTTCTCTATCTGTCCCATTCAGAACAACTTCTCCTTTACTGCATTTAGAACAGTGTAACTGAGAGGCAATAATATCATGGAGTGGTTCACATTACGCTGAATTTTATTGTAGTCTGACATTGTGAGTGAACCTTTCGAATCCTTGAAAGCAGCATAAAGGCGAAACCTGCTTCTCATGGACTGAAGAAAAATATTCTGACAGAGTGATAATTGGGGCGACTTTTAGAAATCATGACTTGAAAACATTTTCTGAGCAAGTGCAATTTCTGTTACCCCAATTCACAGAATGATGTTAGAACAGCCTGCCGTTGGCCAGAACTACTCATTTTTCCTCCTAAGGGCAGGGCTTCATTTTTTTTTTTAAATTAATTAATTTATTTTTTCAAATACTTTTGTCTCTGCCTTTCCCCCATCCCTTTCCCTTGCCCCCTCCCTCCTCTCATTTTTAAGGATATGTGGGATCTACAACATCTCCAGACTCCAGCTAAAAAAACGCCCTATCTTCCATCCTCCTTTAATTCTTCTCCCAAATTATTATATCAAAAGTATTAGAATGTAGGTGCTGTGAGAGTATTCATTTTAACCTCTTTATTTTCTGATAGGAGACATCATTGATGTTTATAATAATAAAATTTGTTTCTCATAAAAGGCAACAAACCATTTTATCTCCATTATTCTCTGAAATACGTGACATTGTATATTCTTTAAGTTTGAATTATTTTAGAAAACCAGTGTAGATATATTTTCCAAATACTATGGGAATGTCAGTAAAAACAATAAAGGGCCCATCGACATGGGGGCCTTTCACTAGAACTTTATGGTTCATATTAGAAAGGACACTTAATTAATAAGACTGACAAGTTAGACTGAGACACAGAATTTTACAGGATGTTAGGCGAAGAAGTTTACTTTTATTAATCCAATCCCACACTATTTTTTCCTTTTTCCTCCCTCGCTACCACTGCCACGTCCCTGTTCTTCACTTTTCCCCAATTAACCTTTTCTGTTGTTGTGCCTGGCACATAGTAGGTGCAGAGTAAATATTTGTGTGTGTGAATGAATGAAGGACGTTCAGGACACAAAAGCTTCTTGGTTCACTTGAGTCAGCTGGCTCTTAGCAGTATTCAGTGTATAAACTGGACGTGTTGTTGACAACTCTCTTTGCTCTTTGTGTGCATAAGCTAAGAATAAACAGCACTGAAGGGAAGGGAGTGCTTCATTCATCGGAGGATTACACCATCATAAACTCACCAAAGTGTACCACACAGAGCTAGTGATCACAGAAGACAGGCAACCCGGGCCCCATCATTAAATATAGAAGCCTGTCTTCACTGTTTTTATCCAAACAGACACTCTGTATTTTGGAAATTTCCACCACACTTCCTTTTGAGTTGCTTCTTTTCTCAAGATACCAAGGCTGAAACTTTAGAAAAGTAGACTTGGTCAGGAAAGCTGGTAGAATGACGGCAATCCACATTCCGTTGTCCTCCATACCGCACCCCCCACCGGCCCCCCAGAAGGAGACCATTGTGTTCATGCTTTTAGGCTGAATTTTATGTCCCTGAAAAATTTCTCTACGCTGATTGAAAGACTAGAAATTCTGACATTCCAAGATTTCGGGTTCAATTCTAAATGATTCCTTTTTCTCTAGACCAAATAAAAGGGATAATGTCTCAAGTCTATTCTTTAATTAAACACCAGTAATATAAAGCTCGGGTAGAACTGGTAAAGTTATTTGTGGTTTACCAGAAATGTTTCACACCTAAAGGCTCAATATTTTTTCTTTCACTAGTGAATCACTCTATATGTATGTATATGAGTGTTAAGTACCATCTTTGTTTTAGGTTATTTAAAGTATGCAACATTTAATCCTTCATATAGCTTTCAAAATATTATTAGTATTTTTATAGCTTTAAATACTTAATATTTAATACAGTGTTTTTTTAAATAAAATATTTTAAAACACTGAAATATTAAAAAAATATGTTATTAAGTTGTTTTAACTGTTACTAAAAAGTTACTAACATACAAAAATAGGTGAGAATAATGGTGAAATCCACAAGAAAGACAGAAACGTGCTCCTCCACTGAGGTGACAATGTGGAAACCAGATCGTGTAGATTCAGACTTCAAAGAGTATTCCCATCCCTGAGTAATATCCAATGCCCATTTGGCTTGTTTTAGAGATGCTTGTATTTCTCACTGTCCTGTGATGAGTTATACTAACTTAAGGTAGCTGGAATATGTTTCTCTTCCTTTGCCCTGACAAAGCCAAATATACTCATGTTATGTTGGTAAAAATGGAATTGTACATTATGTAGAAGTTATTTGTAAACTATTTGTAAACTCTCAGCTGGTGTTCAAAAAGGAGGTAGGATTGGAGATGGTTAGGATATAAATTTGTCTCAAAATATTAATTCTTATTAAGGAAAAAGTCATTTGGTGACCAACTCACATTACAGTTGTACATGTATTCCCTGACTTTGTGAAGTAGTCTAGAGGTAGTGGGACTTGTATATTACAGTAACTCCTTACTTATCTGAATACTGATCTTTTGGCAACTTAAACTTTTTGACAGAATATGCAGTAGCAGAACATCTAGAAAATTTATATAGTACGTGTTTATCCAGAGTCATGTTGATTACTCTTTAGCATAAATTATTAAAACATTTAGATCTCTTTTTCTATCTCAGAACAGACTAGAAGGAAGAAGGTGAAATAATTTTAGACACAGGTACAGCAGTAGAAACGTCTTAACTGGGAACCTGGAACTGAAACAGAAAGCAGTCAACTTCAAGGGCAAACAGGACACACAGATAGAGAATATAATAGTGGAGCTTCAAAATGATAACATAAGACAAAAATTTTAAATTTACATTCTAGAACTTTTTTTTATTGAGATAAGGACATTTAGGAAACATTGTATAAACTTTAATAAAATGGCTAAAATTAAAGTGTTTAGTTTATATAATCAATAAATATTTATTTGGAAAATGCACATCTGGGTCCATTTCATTAATGTGAAGGGTGTTGTTTTAGGAACTGAAGGCAGTCCCCATCCATTCTTTCAAAAGATGACATTTTTTTGTTCCTCTTATAGCCCCTCCAGTCTTAATTCTCCAAAGTTATGACATAAATCAAAGCATTCTTTGGTAGATCATAGTACCTTAAAACACTCATCAGAAGCACAAGAATTGATATCTGGGATATCTGGAAAAATGTACAATAAAAAATACAGTTTTCTACTCCTCCTTTGATGCTGATATAGTCACTATTTTACAGATGATGTAAACTATGCAGGTAATTCTAAGCACGTAAAATTCTTTTAAAGCCAATGCTACTATAAAAAATAATGGCACCTGAAGAAAGATCTTGGGAATCCTGTGGCTATGACCCCAAAACCCCAGTTTTTTGATATTAAAAAGTATTTAATATGTAACTGCTATTTTATAGTAAATATTTCTTTTTACTCCTCCCATGTCACAACTGCCCTGCGTAATGGAAGTACTCATGTGTTTAGTGTTTAAAGGTTGAGAAGGGAACTAGAATTGGTCTAAGGAGACCTTCAGCTGCTCATCACACTATTGTTTGCCCATGAAGACGTGCTTAGTCTTCACCCTGGCAATGCCAGTCATTTGCACTTGAGAAATCTATGTTCAACACCAAGTTATTCCTGAAAACAAAATAATGCCACCAACTTGCAGAGCCAGTAGACAGCTAGGAGGACAGGGATAAGAATGATACACACACAGCTTCCTCCATTTCCCTTTTCTCAGGTCTGGCCATGGATTGTTAGTTGCTAACTGGTTGTAAAGAGGCTTGAAATAAACCATTTTATTTTCTGCTCTTCAGAAATTTGGTAATTTGTTTTCTATGAAGGTCACCATTATAACAAAACAAATGCATTGTAACAAAAATTTGGCTGATCCATGGAGAATATTGTGAAGAGAATCTACCGATGATCCTGAAAAATACTAGACCACTGGACATTCAGTTCCACAATTTTGTCATCTTAATGTGTTCTGCAGAGTGCCGAATTGCCAATCCGACCTACTGTATGGAAACTTGCCATCAAGATGCCCGCATCCAACAAACCAACGCTGTTACTCTGTGTTATCCAGCTTGGGCTTAGAGACTGAACTAAAAAGCATGTTGAGTTTTTATGGTAAAAAAGTGCATCAGGAGGGCAGCTACATACTAGGTTACCCTCCCAGATTGACCCCTGTCCTTAGGTTTTTATTGCCTGAACTGGCACCAAAGAAACTCCTCGAAAATAACACATTCCTTGTCCATTCAGTGGTTAATGATGCTTAAAAAAAATCACAGTTTGTGACTGTGACCTAAATTATGCCAGAAGCTGTAAAACCATGGTTTCTTTAAATTCAAATATGACCCACATGCTTTAAAACCACTACACTGACCCTATAGTGCTGTTGCTGAGTGTGCGTGTCCTCACATAAGCACACACACACACTCACACACACAAAACACTTGGCAATAAATGACTCGATAAAAGAAATGCTATTTTTCAGACTTCCATGTTAAAGAAAAGGCTCATGAAAGAGATGTAAGTGAGCTTTAAGCCAAACATTTGTTTGGCTTTGCTGCAGCAGGCTGCAGGAATGTAAACTTTTTTTTTTTTTCAATGACTTCAGCTCCTAATTTGAAAGCTTGGATTTTTAGGAGTGAGCAAGGACTATATTTGGCCAAAAAATTCTGCTGGCTTTACTTAGCCACTCTGCACATTCAAAACAATACTTCTTTATCAAAAAAACAATAGTCTGTTTTATTCACAGCACATGTAGAAGTTGGAACATCGACTAAATTCCACTTTCTTCTCTTGCAGTGTGTCTGCAACCAGCTAATGAGCTGCAACAGAGCCTGGCCTTCATTTTCAGCACATTAAGTTCATCCCTCATAGGAATTGTGGTCTGGTTGTGGCACCGCCCCTAGGTATGGGTGGGATTTGTTTCTTCTACCAGTGGTAGGTTAGCCACATGGGTACGTGCTGTCGCACCACACAACAAAATTTTCTCTATAATAACCAGTCTAAGTAGCCTTTTACCCCACAAAAGTAGATCCCATTTAATTTACTTTGTGTTTATAGCACTCCCTCTCAAACCGCATCATTGGCACAGACTGATATTTATACAACTTTTTATTTTAAACTATTTATTTAGAGTTGAGACTTCAGTAGCACTCCCTGTCAGATTCATTGAGCGTGCTTCAATTCAGGATACTGAAAATGTAAATTGGGAAGAGTGATGTGTGTTCGTGGGATTTGTTTCCTCAGTGCATGAACACCCACACAACTCTCACTGGGAGGTTACACATACGTTGATAAAAGTTGTGATACAAATTGCTGACAGGAAATTTTATGTTGTTAGGCGATTAAAAATAATTGCTTTTGCTTATTGTATCTCCACAGCTCTTTGACAATATAGTTGATCAAATCAGTTATGTAATGGGCATCTAAAAATTTTTAATTTAGAAGTAGCAGTGTCATTAAGGACCTCTTTTTACACACAACGCAATATTCTATTACTCAATTATTCTAATGGAAGTCTCTGGTCAACTGAGCACTTACCACAGAAGAAAAGGAAAATACAGTTCTTGATTTTGTATCTGACCTATTTTGGGGCTTTACCCAAGTTATATTTTCCTTCAAGTTTTTGAATTTTTTAACTTTTAAAGTGAGGGAAGGAATACAAATTTCAAACTGACATTTAACCACATAAAATAAAGTGACATCTGGTCAGTTTTTCTACTTGTGGTGGACATTTCATGCTGTTAATGATGTTGAACCTTCATTTTCTATGAGGTTCTGCATGTTGTTTTTAAATCCTATACTATTTTGTGCTCTAACAGAACAGGTAAAGTCATGCTTGCATGTTTGATCCTCTTTTACTTTCTTCTTTTGTTGAACACCTATTCATTTTCAAGGCCTGGTTTATGCATTGTCTCTTTGGTGAAAAATGTCTCATCTTCCCAAAGAAGAACATAGCTCTACTAGAGTAAGATAATCTTTTGCGATAGTAACTAACGCTCCTAATATTCCCTACAACCTGTACTCTTTCTCTGCATTCAGCAGACGAGGCTACTTTAGGGAAGGGACAAAAAATAAAACAAGTGGCAATAAAAGAATTAACTTCTTTGTTTTTGTAACTCAAAATTAAGGTCTTAATTGAGAAAACAGATTTGAAAGAATAAGGGGTCAGTTTCTGTTGTGCTCTCCTCAGCCCAGGGTAGGTAAAGACTTTGTGGGTCTTGGGAAGAGACGAGACTTGAGAGATTAAGGTAGCTTACATGTCTGGGAGAGGGGATCCATGAGAAGGGGTGCAGACAGTGCCTGGAATGGTAAACAAGCAGAGAGGTGCTGGCGTGAGGAGGATGTCCCAGTGTTAGCACAGAAGAGATGAGGGCTTTCCTGGAGTATACTGAGGAGGGATGGTGCAGTGCAGACTGAATTCTTCTCCGAACTCTGCTCTCTAGACTCTCGGGCACTTTTTAGGCCCCTGGATATTAGAGACAACTCAGCAAAAACGTGGTCTACAGGAGGCGTAATTTCTGCCGCTGTGTGAATGGGGGCTTCAAATCAAACAATAAAATGTTACGGAAAAAAATGAAAAAGTTTTTGCACATCTGAGTTTGGCAGCTCCAGGTTTGTATGTATCAAAAGAAAGGACTGTGTCTTCCTCATTGTCATACTTCTGTGTCAGAGCATGTATGACACATAGTAGGCACACAGTAGACAGTTGGTTACAGAATGAATCAATATCGTAGAGCCGGAGGCATACGCCAACGGCTCCATATCTTTGATCTGGTTTCTCTGTCGGGTCAGGGAAAAAAAAAAAAAAAGTTTTGCCTTTCCTGCCTTGTTTTTGCTTGCTGCGTGCCAGCTTGGCCTGTTTACTCCTGTGGTTTCCCGAATTCCAAAACAATGCGGCATTGCCTGAAATTACACTTCAGTGCTTTCTGGAGCATTTCTGCTGCCCACCCTACTTGCAGTGACTCCACTTCAGTTCCTTGAACGCCAGCTGCTGCGATAGCTCGCTGTCACTAAGCCTCTACGTGCAGCCACCCCAGAGGAGTTAAGTGGGACCACATCAATGCTGGGGAACTGGCTGTCTTCCAGAACTGCACTGTGGGTCATTCTGTCTCGTGCTTTGGTAAGGTCTATTTTCTCCACGGCCTTTCAGTGAGGAGAGGGGCCTGGGATAGGGCAGAGCCTGGAAAATAGAAACAGAATGCCCAGTGTGGGTGTAAAATGTCCCCTTTCCCTCTTGAGCCAAGGAGATCCATTCAGAGGATGTTCCACTTACACATTCCCTTCTAGTCTAATTTTTACTCAACTTTTTTTTTTTTTTTTTTCCTGGCACCTGTAAACCAGATGGGATATCCACTGACATACTGAGCTGTGTAGGATGAGGGGGCTTTCTGCTTCCTCCTTCAGTCCTTGTAAAGGCATCTGCTATTTCCCTCAGGCACTGTTTAGACCTCAGCATCCAGGTCTTCTAAGTCACATTTGTGTGATCAAGCACTTTTAAACTTTAAGACATTAAATACCAATGTCACTTTGAGGCCTTTTACACCTTAGTCTGAGATACGTAAGAAAGTGTAAATTGCTCCCCTGGCCCCCACACTCCTACTTCTTTCCTATATCAGTTCATGTATTTTTGGTTACAAGCAGCAAAACTCCCCATTCAAGCTGGCTTAACAGAAATATAAGGGCCTCTTAACTGAAAGGTGGCATAGTGTAGGTGGTTCCTTTTTGTCAAGAAGATTTGATTATTTCTGTTTTCCCACTCTGCCTTTCAGAACCTTCCTCCTGGTCACGAGATGACCGTCAGCAGCAGACAGCAGGGCTACCTGTTTTCCTGTTCATGTCCTACGGAGCCATGGAAGCCACTAAGGAACCTCCTTTCCCAGAAATCCTCAGCAAATATATCCTTAAATTGTATCTACACAGTTCTGAAATACACATCATGTGCAGGCAACATGTCACTTTCCTCCTCCTTCCTCACTTATCACCTCTACCATCTCTGGTTAAAGTAGATAAAAGAGAATGAGGACAATGTAACATATCAAAAGGGGCCTGGATGCGACTGCAATGAAGAATGTACTCTCGGTGACACAGGCTCCAGCTGCTTGCAATTAATCACTCTCACTTAATTAATTAATCAATTGAAGCTGATTGAGGCTGCAAAAAGAGTTTAGTGAAGCTGTGTTCAAGCTCCAGCTTTGCTGTTTACTAATGAGATGGGTAGTCCCGGTCAATTTGTTTCACCTCTCAGAAATCCAGTCTTCTTGTGAGAATCAAGTGAAATCCTTGTCAAAGAGCATTGGTAATGTCTATGTTTTCCAAATGCCAGGCATTATTATTACTGCTCCTGTTTTAAATAAAATAGGGAGACTGGTCTTCATTATAAGAGACCTACATTGAAAGGTTTTATATTGTATTAGTCTTCATTTATTACAAAAATAAAAGTTTATGGACAGTTTGAAACTGTGCCAAATGCTAGCACTCTGGTATATATAAATAAATATGAATATTGATTATACCTATAGAGTAAATTAATGTAAGATGATATAAGAAATTGAGTTGCGTCTTCCAGGGTATACCTAGAAAATTCATTTTTTACCCTTGAGTAACCACCTCATATTTGTTTGACTTTTCCCTTTATTTTCTTTTCCTTGTTTGAGTGAAGCAAAGGAAATTCAGTTAGCTAAGGATTTAAGTAAACTAAATTCCAATTAATTGAGTTTTTGGTATATGTATATTACGTTAAGAAACTTATATGTTCAGTATTTTTTGATTTATGGATAACGTTGCAATATATATTATTAATACACCAACTTTTTTTTAAATTAGAATTTTCAGCAGTTCCTCAGAAAAACTTCTTATCCTATAGCTAATTTCAAAGTTTTGAATACATATAAAGGTAATTGTTTTAAAATTTGTAGTTTATGACCACCAAAAACAAAACCTTCCTTTCCACTTGAACTGACATAAAGCTTACAGTTAAATTTAGACCTTAGTTGAGAAATGGTCTATTTCACGTTCTTCTAGTATTTATCTCTTGGCTTTTTTTTAATCCAACTTTATTTTTAATTGATTTATGTTATATATCTCAAATTTTTAAGTGTTTTCATATTCTTTATGGAATTTACAAAAGAGAAAAAGAAAGATATGGAGGGAAGGAGAAAGGAAGGGAGGAAAGAAAAATAGAGAGGGACATGGAGAAAGGAATGACCAGCTCGGAGCTGAGCAGTAGTTTGGAAGCGAGAGGGAATCAGATGCGAGACCAGCAGTTGGTTAGAAGGTAGGAATGTCAAAAAGTAGCAATGAGATCTAGACAGAAGATCATGGCAGTAAGAGAGAAGATGAGGTGTAAATGTGACCACTATTTCAGGTGAAGAATGGAGAAGACTTGCCAACTCAAGGATGCTGGTTTTGAAAGGCTGGTGATGAAAAGTGGAATGTCAGTGATGCTGAAGGTTTGAACCCGGATGATCTCAGAAAGTTATGAACATGTGGTAGGGGAGGGGATGCAGATAATGGTGCCAGACACCATGCTAGCCAATTTACAGAAAGCCTTTAACTTCACAGAAAGCATCTTACTTAATTCCCTAAATAACCATACCAGGCGTTAGTATTCCTTTTTTTACAGAGAAGTAAACTAAGAAACAACAAGCTTTTGTTTCATTTTATTTTTTAAACTGGTAATTCTGACTAATATATACACAGAAGAATCCAAAAACAAATCCAGGTGGCTATTTGGTCAGTTCGATTAACATAGTCATTCAGTGTGGACAATTCAGGTCAAAAAAGACCACCCCACTTTACTCACCAAACACAATACCATATTATGATCCTGTATGTGTGTAAGAATGTGTGTTTGGAGAAAATTATTTTTACTACAGAAACTTCCTTCTTTTTGTTGGTATATAATGTTGACTTTACTCACATGGCAACTTGGATGTACCTGGAAAATGTAGCTCCATTATGTTGTCTATAACTACTCTGGTTGTCTTATAAATTCAAAGTCCTATGTGGTTTAAAATTTGGTCCACAATAATTAAAATGATCTCTTTAGGTAACGCTACTCCTTTAGGAAAACATGATTTGTCTCCCTGACTTTTCAACATTCTGTCCACTCTTCAGTGCCGCCTCCAGTTGGCATCGGGAGGGGTGGAGGGGTACGGCTTTTCATGGCTGGCATTTTAGAGGGTCAGGGTCAAGACCCTCTAGTTTTCAGGGTGATGTCCCTTGTCTGTGGTCTTAATGGCACTCACAGCTGATATAAGCACCTTTTATCTTGGACTGGTTGACTTGCCCTTACCATGTGGCAGCACCTTGCCTGCTCGCTCTCAGCTCAATTGTCAGTTCCCCATTGAACAAGGGTGGGGTGCTGTGGAAACATCTGGTTTCTATCCAGGCTACACTGCAATGAAGTGGAGTTTAAGAAAGCCACTTGTCAAAGCTAACAGTGAGCTCTCAGGAGGTTAATGTAGGCAGCCCTTGAGTATGTAAGAAGTTGCATTTTAACCAGATATGGAATTTGAGGTTATTTTTCCCTGGGACTTCGCACTCAGAAGAGTGAAAGCCAGAAAGGAATATTGGGAGGCAGTTCTGGGTTGCTTTCCACACTCTACCATCTTCTGTCTCCAGAAACAGAAGGGGTGGGCTTTGTTCCCCGTCTTCTTTGCCTTAAGTTCTTCTACCAGAAAACAGACAGCCACATGGCCTGGAGAATTCCTGAGTGGGAGATACCTTCTCTTCATTGTGAGAATTCTAGAGAGAGTCCTCCAGGTTTAGTCCTTAAAATGTTAAACAGGAACTAAAAGAATTCAGCAAATCCATTTACTCTCCACAAAGCCTTACTTTCAAGCTAAATTCTTACTCTTTCCTGATCTATGGCAATAAGTTTTCTAATTCTATCTTAAAGGTGGCAGATTGCAAAGAAATATGATTTAGACAATGTTGTGAAATACATTGGTTTAATATTTGCAAAATACCATCCATGGTACCATTACATAGACACATTAAAAAGTCCAGAAATCTGTGTAACTGTTCAGTTTATACTCTGTGGCTTCTGGTAAAATTAACATGAGAATCACTTTCTGATCCATTTTGTCTAGCAAGTAAGACAGGTGAAGAACTGATTTTATTGTAAGCTAAAAGTAGATATAAGTAGGTATATTTGGAATACGGCCTATGAAAAAGAAATAATTATAGCCACTGTGAAAAAAAAGTGGGCCGACACTTCTTTTGTCAATAAATAACAAATTAACAAAAAGGTGACTTTTACAGTGTTATGTTTCTGAGCTGTTTCTAAACTGGCATTTTTAGAGATTGGTTTCTAAGTGTTTTGTCAGAAGAAAAAGCTTTAGTAAATTTTATTTTATGAATGCTATAATTTAGAGTTCTGTTTTATGTGGTAGCAAAATAAACTCACTTCTTTTATACTTTTTTCCCTCCCATTAGATTTCACTATTTGTAGCAGGCCTTGTCAAATAGAGGTGAAAATTAAATTATGGTAACATAAAAAGTGTACCTAGAAAATCGTGTGAATTCTTTAATGAAAGCTGTACATTGCTTTACTCAAAAGAATATTTCTTTTGTGGTACAAACTGATCATTAAAAGTACTGAATTAGATATTTATAAAAGAATAGTGGGAATTACCCACTATTGCTTGCATTCTATCTCTTGGTATTCTGTTCTAATTATGAGCCAACATTTTCCCCAAATTCCAAATTCATCATAAAAAGAAACATATAATGACCACATTTCCTAAAATAACCTCTGAAATTATGGACACATTTATTCGTGTTAATATGAGTTTTGCATTTGAATTTAGATGATGGCGCTGTGTATTGCTTTTCTGAATAATTTCATATAAGGACAGTTTGTAAGAACAGATAGAACAAAAGGCAATTTTAACATGAACCCTTTTTTTTTCCTCCTGTATGCATGAAATGGCTTAAGTCTAGGACCTTTTTCTTTATCATACTTGTCAAATCTCAATGTTTAAAAATTTTTATTTCCATATAGATATAAAAAATTATACATAATGGATGGAAGAATTATGGCAGTATTCTTTATTTCCTCCTCTTCAATAAGTATATGTTAAACTCTCACTCACAGAAAAGTGTAGTTCTGTAACTGTCTTGATTCCTGAGAGGTGCCTGTTTCTCTTTTTCTTATGAACTTAGAAGTATAGATGTACTGTAATGTTCTTATGCATATAATATTATTATGGGCTTTTTTTTCTGTTGCTTTTGGTGACCTAAAAATAAAATGTTAAAGATGATTTAAAAGCATTTCTTCCTCTGCGTGAGGTAATTTAGGCAACACCTCTGGAATGCAATTTGGCTTGAAGAATTCAATACATATTTTAGTAGTGGGTAGAGGAAGAAGCATACTTACATATGACGCCTACAACTACTTTAATTTCAAGATTTTAATTTGTCATGATTTTGGAAAATTTTTATTTTATATTTTTGAAAAAGGGTCCTGTTGACTGCACACTATGTTAATTGTTGCTTTTACGGGGAGATGTGTCCTAAACCTGGACTTTCTAACAGCCACACCTGGGCACTGCTGGCATTCCTTCACGCTCCCTGCCCTCAGTGAGGTAAGATACTATTTAGGATATAGAACTACAGCTATGTATCATTGTCAAAAACTTTTTCTTAATCATACAAGAAATGACACATTTTCAAATAGTTACGCTTTCACTTGGTAAAGTTTTATCTTAAAAGCAACCTTAATATGAAAATGATGATCTCCTTTTCTTAAAACTTATTATCCTTGTGGTGGCTTAAGAGGGAATTGGTTAACATGATTTTTAATTTGTCTCAAGGCCTGTGGAAAGAAACTGACTTTCTAGAATGTACATGGTTGAGCATCATACAGAAATAAATATCTCCCCCTTTGGAATTTAAATTGTATCTAGTAGTACTATTTTTATACCTCTTACTAGGAAACGAAATACCTCTAAATTTAGTGCTTTGGAATTTTATTTCTACTAAAATTTTCTTCAGATATTTGAGCACCATAGTAACAGCTTTGCAAGCTGATTCTTCATTACAGTTCTCCGATAAGAGCTTCACTCAAGACAGTTCCTCTGGGATGACTGAGACTAAAAATCAATTCTGATAACATTAGAACAAATTTGAAGATGAAGAAAAAAAAACAATCAGAGAAAGCATGCATGCTGTGGATAAACAGCTTCCCTTAATTTAAAAAAATAATTTTTTGCTCAAAAGCTAACATGCATTTTTTTCAGTGTTAAAAATTTCTTTATTATTTTATATCTAGATATGATTTTCCCCCCTTTGGAAAAAAATAACTCTTTTATCAGAGATATGAAAAAATTAGCTGAATA